CTAAGGTCCTGAAATTACAGGTTTTAAATAATAAAAGTTTTAAACAAAAGAATATAAAGCCACGCAGTTGCTATTTTACCTATGCTAAAATCAGCATTTTGAGATTTTAATAAAGTAGACATACTGAGCCTTTCATTTAAATGTCATATAATAAACAAGGATAAGTCGTTATGTGTCTGTTACATTATAGTGCAGCTGCAACATGCCATGTAGGTTTGTTTCCTTAAGGATGTTCATAACCCATAGTTCCCATTCAGTTAAATGGGAGTAGTAGTATGTTCTCCCCTCCTTTCCCTTAAAAATCAATCTCTTTATCAATAAAGCAGATAATTTTCAACATTCAGAAGTTTTGTTAACTTTGAAATGCTTCTAAATTTAAAGATGATTTGTTGCCCAGGAAAAATCCAGCTCCAGAGAAAGGATAGTGTAGATTCAGTGCTTGGAGTTTGAATCTGTTCATGTAAGAGTCAGTCATTTTTAAAGCACTTTTATATGCTAAATTTTTATATGAAAGTATAGACACATGGTTTTTGTGGCATTTGGCCAAAAGATTATCATTTACATAAATTTCTCTTTCAAAAGACTAGTTATAATGTATTGCACTCAGAAGGTTAGAATAGAGGTTCCAATATGTAAACCAGCAGTGGGCTATTGGCTTCTAAACAGTAGCATTGTTCATCATATTGAGAACACTGTTCACATTCAGACCTAAGCAGAGCTAGCATTACAATTCAGCTAATTTGTTTCATGTGACTTTTCAGCTGTGTGTTTTATTTAAACCTTTAATCATCTTTTTTGGCAGGGTTTTTTTTTTTTTAATTTTAAAAAGTAATGCAATGGATAGGGAACTTTAACTGTTCCATTTCAGATATCATTTTATTTTATCTTAGTTCAATTGTGTGTATGTGTACAGAATGGACAACTTAAAGTGCATGCTAATTTATTTTTGTCCAATGTTTGTACTTCTGTAAAGGAAGCCCCCTTTCCAGTCCTAGTCCTGCTCCCACAACTGTTCATATATTTTTGCATTATAGCCATTGTATAAATTATATGTGCAATCCTGGAGCAGGGACCAGAATCCAGGATTCATCTTTCTTACAAAAGTGCCCTTGTCACTGGGGTGCAGAGTTAGATGCCCCCTCTTAGATGCTTTCTCTTGATCCTAAAGTCTCTCATTCTTCTCTGACTAGTTGCCCAGTTTCAACAGCAAGGCTTTCAGCCTGGTCTATCCTCTATTATAGTGTTATAGGGTTTTCTTCCTGGTCATGGAGATGCGGTTTTGAATTGCTGCAGTCTGAGGAAGAATGTGAAATCCTTATCTCCCACTCCCTGAGCTAAGTGCTCTTAACTATGAAGATATTGTACACAGATAGGTACTCCTCCCATTGATAAAGGGAATACTTAGAAATATTAGTGTAGGTGAGGGATTTGGACTGTAAATCCCAGTTTCACATAGATACCTAGGCCTAATGAAGAAGTGAGATTTCAAACACTCCTTTCTTCATTGTTGCCCATGGGTGGGCTTAGGCATCCCCTGATCAGCATGCTGAATGCTGTGAATCCCAATTGTAAGCACTTTTATCTCTTCATTTAAAGTATGGGGAATTTAAGTGTCTCTCATAAATTTGTGAATTCTCTGCCAAAAGCTAGGCATCTAAAAGTCAGGCACTAAAATGCTCTGCATCTCTATGTGTCTTTGTCAATATTGCCCTGTGTAACCATCATCTTTGGTATGAAAATAGCTTCTATTTTCGGGGTATATGGTCCAGTATACAGGTATCTGCTTTAAGGTCATGTATAGTCTCTAGCAGAGTGATTCTCAACCAGGGTGCCACAGCCTTGAGATTCTTTAAACGGTGTTGGGGTGCCATAGTGTTAGCACTGTTAGGTTTACAAACATGATTCAGAAGATAAACCCAGAGATTTCAGATAGAAAGACAACAGTTATGGGTTTCTGAGTTAAACAAAAGACTGCTCTATCAGCTTTTACTTTTTGTTGACAGAAAAATAAGACCTGGCATTTTCCAAGGGGTGTTTTGAGTTAAAAAGTTTGAGAAACACTGTTCTAGGATCATGTTAACTGTAGTTGTTCTACCACATTAGCTATCTCATGTAGCGCTATGAACTCCAAACTTCCACACAAAAAAAACCCCCCACGAAAGTTTGAAAAAATAAGCCAGGGGTTGGCACCTGTAGGCTGTATTCGGCCTATGAAGAAACTGAATCCAGCCTATGGCAGCTCAGGGATTCAGCAAACATGCTTCAACCACACCAGAGGAAGAGATCTTCAAAGTCCTATTGTCTGCCATATTCAGTTTCTTCTTCCTGCTGCTGCAGAGGAAGCATCCTCAAGATCCTAGTACCTGCTTTTTTTCTAACTAGTCCCATCTTTTGCTTGCTGGGGAGGTTTGGGGGTTTCGTCTGTGGCAGGGGCTGAGTTGCAAGGAAAAGATTGCCACCCCCTGCAATAAGCCGTAACTAAAACCTTTGTACAAGTGTGGCTCTTTTTTTCCTCCCGACCTGCAGTATTGGCCATTAGTGACATCTTTAATTTTGCTTCTGATGGCCTTTCTGTAATAAAACCTTTCTATAGATATCATCTGTAAAAGCTGGCTCTGAAAACAGTCTGTTGGTACATGAAATGGGTGTTGTGGAGCAGCTTAAAGAAGAACATGCTTTCAAAATGGTAATACGAACTGCAAAAAGAAAGCATAAGATCCTCATGTAACGTTAAAACTGGGGTGGGCAAAATGCAGCCCGCAGGCCAGATGTGGCCTGCCAGGCCATTGTATCTGGCCTGCGGGGCCCCTAAAAAATTAAGAAAATTAATTTTTATCTGCCCCTGGTTGCCTGTCATGTGGCCCTCGATGGCTTGCCAAAACTCAGTAAGCAGTCCTCTGCCTGAAATAATTGCCTGCCCCTGTGTTAGAATATTAGCCATAGTTACAAGAAGTTAGTAAAAGTGGAAACATAATTTAATAATCGAAATTTGGCTAATTTTTCTTCAGAAACATGCCAGTGTATGTATAATGTATCCTGGGTATATTCAAATCCTTCTTTTTTTAATTTCAAAATAGGGTAGTGTGTTCTACTGGTAGCCATATCTAATGCTGATACAAAGATCATTTTTCTAGTAGTCTCCTTTACTGTCACTTTTCTCTGTGTCTGTTTACTGTCTCTTCTCTATCGCATTAAACAAGGTATTTATCTTTACTTTCAAGGATCCCCACCCAGTTTCTCATTTTTTCATTCACTGTCATTCCTATCATGATCATCTCCCTCTGCTGTTCCCTTTGTCCATTAGTTAAATTTTCAAACAAATCCATTCATACTTTCTTCCGTACTGCCACACATGCTTAGGAGAAACACTTTCAGAAGTAACTTCAAGGCTACCTTGTTATCTTTCTTCACATACCTCTTTAAACACCTCTTTGTCACCGTTATTTTCTTTAAAAACTTAATCTAGGTAGTAGTCATAGCAAGCTGGTTGCTTATGCTGCTGCCCCAGATTGTTTCTTTATGTATCCCTGTTTGCATTCGCAGGGCTCTTGTCTTAGCTCAGAAACTTTTGGTGATAGGAACTGTTTGCACAACCATGGGGGTGGGGAAAGCCCCTTGCCTTACAATCAAGCATGAGGCAGCAGAGAGGGGGTAGCTTCTGTGGCCGGGGCCAGAGCCACAGCTACTGCTTGTCATCCTTATCCATCCCCCCACACACCTCTGCACACCCTGCCATTCCTGCCCTGAAGTTTCCAGTCTCATCATTCCTATCCCCGTATGCCACTTTTCCCTTTCTGTCCCCCTCTGCTGCACTCCTTATCTGCTGCTGTGGGACCAGGCTGGAACAGCAGTGCCAGTTCCACACTGCTGCTATAGGCTGGGCTGGAGCCATGCTTTATGCCCTGGGCTGCAACAGGGATGAAGTTGCTAGTGTGGAGCAAAGATGTTGGGGCAGGCAGGGGGGAGAGACATCAGGAGGAGGAAGATGGGAACAAGTGGGGGGTGAATACCTGAGGCTGCGCATGGCAGAAGTGGTGTGGAGAAGGGAGGAGGAGGAAACGAAGTAAGATGCTGGGGCGGGGGTGGAGAGGGGGGGCAGGCATCATGGGGGGTAAGTGAGGGGGGCAGGCAGCAGGGGTCAAGATGCTTGCCCCACCACCTCTATACTTCCTGCCTCCCACTGCCTGCCCCATGACTGCCCCCTACCAGCTCCATTTCTCCCCCCCTTATCACCTCTCTGTCACACCACCTACAGTAGTGGGGTAGAAGGATGAATTTAAGATGATCCTCCAATAATTAGATTCCACACATGGAAAATTATAATAAACTTAAATGTTCTTTGTGTAGAATCTAATTATTGCTGGGTCATGTTACATTCAGGGTCATCTTGTCTTCGAATAAATCTGTTATATCTATATAGTAAAAAGCACAATGGAGTTCCTAGTCCATGATTAGGACTCTAGGCCTGCTGTAGTTCAAATGAAAAAAACCACAGCAAAATCCAAAGAATGGAGATAGAAAGCCGCCACCTTAGGTGGGTACAAAATTTAGAATGCATGGTTGTTAAAGTTTAATGCTCCCCAGAACTTTTCCTCCTTTTTCTTGTCCTATTATGGGTCTTGTATTATTGGCTGTCTGTAGATCTTGTGTCTTCAGATACCTAAGAACCTTCAAGCATGAAATTGGGTCCTGGGGGTCTGGTGGCTTGGGGTTTTTTGAAAAAGAAAATGCTGGATTTTTCTTTAGAAATAAAACCAAGTAACACCTTTATAAAAATGCAGGTGTACCCTGATCTCTACAGGTCATTTGCATTTTCCAGAGAGTTGGCTTGGGGGTGTGACCAGCTACTACCTCCCTTAAATTCTATACACTGGAACATCTTTTAAAACAGGAACAGCATTTGAAATGGAAGCCACATTTTGATAGGTTTAACTTCTTCAGGTGTACATAATAGTCTGCTGTTCTTTTTCTCTCTCCCCCCGCCTATTTTTATTTTTAAGAATTTCAAAGAATATTCCAACAACTAAAGATGTTGAACCTTTGCTTGAAATTGATGGGGACATCCGGAACTTTGAAGTATTTTTGTCTTCACGAACACCGGTTCTAATAGCACGTGATGTAAAAATCTTTTTGCCATGTACTGTGAACTTAGACCCAAAGCTACGAGAAATCATTGCAGGTGAGTATAATTTTCAAAAGAAGTGTAATTTTAGGTTTATTTTTCTCCTTTCTGCATGGATTTACATTGTGCATTGCATTACCTTTGATATCTCAAAGTTCATAGCACTTAGAGCCCCTGTTGCCCCCAGTCATTCTAGGAACCAAGAAAGGCTTAAAGAGCCAGCCCCACCAAAATTAAATATTCAAAACCCAAATGTAAATAAATGTTACTATCAAACTTAATAATGAAATACTGATAAGATATAGTGATAAGTAAAGCATTTCAGGTAACTGTGTAATATTTTAAAGGTGCACTAATCTAAAGAAAAAACATATTTTTTAATATTTAAAAGAAGCTAATATTAAATTCTCTGAATCTTTCAAAATCTCAAACATGAGCCAGCTTGTTAGGGGAAAGTATTTCTTACCTAGATTTCAAATTAAGTTTTAAAAGAGTATTTGTCTTGACTTATCTGCAGGTGGACTGTTCTGAAAAAAACTGTAGTTTTAAGTCAAGGAGCAGAGGTTTTGACTTGAACCCAAATGTTTGTGCTGTTACTTGGCCCAATTTCAGAAGCTTGCTAAATAAGGCTAAAAAATAAAGGCTTGGAATAGGTTGTACTTTAATATTAGTATTCATATACCCCTTTTTTCCTTCTCTTTTTATGCTATAGCTAAATAGATAGTCAAAAAGCCTGAGGCTGAATTGATTCAGTCTTCACAGATTAGTTTAAGATGTATAGATTAACCAGATAAACAAATAAAATGTCTTGACTCCTATTTTGCTGGGGTCATCTGATCCCAGTAGTCTTTCCTGCCCAAGTGCAGGGGAGCTGGACCCTGGGATGCTGGGATACTGTGAGTTAACTTGAATCTGTAAGGTATCTGGGACAGAAGTTCAGTAAACCTGTTTAACCTAAATCAGTTGAGTGTGATACTACATCCATCCAGGTTTATCTTAAACTAGTTTCAGCCTTTTTGAAAGCGGTTTATATGCACTGAATTTCTTTTGTCTTACAGATTTGAACCCGTTTCTGATCACTTACACCGGTTTATGTGTAACTTCTGTCCTTAGCCTATATCCTGTCCTAGGCCAGAAATAACCACAAAACGTACTCCAAGAGACCTTTAGCGTACCTCTTTTAACATGTCTGTCTTGAACATTCTAAAACTGTTTTTACCTTTTCATTGCTCACTTCCTTTATCTCTTCTGATGTTACCCAGACTTTGTTCGAGCTGGTGGCGTTCAGCCTATGGACTCTGGGCTGAATCTGGCCCGTGGAGCCATGTTATTCAGTCTCTGGGGCTGCCTTCCAGTCCAGAAATTTGATGGCAGGGGAGTGCCAGGAAGGGGCTGGAGAGAGGGGTCTTTCCCACTGCCTGGAGAAAGACTATCAGTTTTTGTTTGTTGGTGGCTTGTTTTTTCATTTGTGTTAGGAAAGACTGTATTTGGCATTTAAAAGGACCAGCTGAAGAGCCCCCTTTAGACTGGAAAGATGCATAGAGGCATCAGTTCACGATCTTCTCTCCCCCCCCCCCCCCACGGTATTATCTTGTCACCCTTCCCTCCCCCCCCCCCCCCCCCGGGATGTTTATCTTAAGTAGATGTTGAGTTACTAATAGACTAAAATTTTGTCATACTTTGCTATAAATGCAGTGTCCTTCTCCTTGCCAAAAAGGCAGCAAAGATTTTTGGAACACTTTTGCCTCTTTTGCATCATTTTTTATTATTTTGCTTTTACGTAGTAATGAGCTTGCATTGTCTACTATTGTTAGGATGTCTTTTGTTTCTGATATAACTAAACCACTCCTTATTGTCCTTCTTCATTGCCAACTGTGGATTTTTTTCTTAGCTTCCATTATTAATTTTCTGCACTTCATAATTTCAAGCCTCTCTGTTTCCAAATGAGGTCATCCCTATCAGTTGAATGCACTTTAACTTGTGTTTATTGACCTCACACTTAATTGAGTTGTCTTGTCCTTCCTGCATTCTTACTAAGATCTGGCTTTAGCAAAACGAAGGAGATATGAGTTTTCTGTAGATGTGCACAGATGCATCGGTCCAATATCGGATCGGCACTAATATAAAGAAAATTGAATATATTGGAAATCAGCCATATCAGGCTGATAATTTAACCGATAAATGGCCAGATAATTTGGCCGATAAATGGCCCGTGCATGCACGCAGCCGCAGTGCAACACGGGCAGCAAGGAGCACAGCTGGGCAGCGTGGAGAGCTGCCTCCAGCTACTAAGTCTGATGTGGTGGAAGATGAGGGGGGAGGGAAGGGACTGGGGGGCGCAGATCAAGGCCCATGCAGGGAGAGAGGTGTGGGGCTGGGGCAAGCACTGCCCAGCCAGGGCAGGGTGGGCTGTGGCTTGGTGGGACGGGGGGCACAGCTCCTCCTGCTGCGCACCGCTTATCCAGGAGCTGCTGATTCATTGACTTTCATCTGGCACTTACCTGTTCATCAGGCGGCTCCCGCTGCTTCTCCCACCACTAATCCCGGGGGGGGGGGGGGGGGGGCAGGGCCCCGGGCCTCAA